GCGGGGGCTGGAGCCGCAGGAGCCCACAGCCAGGAAGGCCAGGCCCTGGGGACACGGGGACCGGGCGCCAGGACGGGGAGCCCTGGTCTGACGGCCGCCATTCCCTGCCGAGCGCCTCGCAGGCTTTACTGGGTCACTCGGCCCCAGGAGGCGGGTTCAGGCCCATCTCGGCTTGCCCACGGGACACTGAGGCCCTGCCGGGTTGAGGAGCCTGTGTCACATACACACGAGGACTTTGTCCTGGGTCACGAGGTCCCCGGAATCACGTCTTAGGTGTGCAGACCCTGGACGGGCAGCACTGGAGGGGCCTTTAGAGGCCTGGGTGTGGGAGACGCGGGTCTCACGAGCAGAAGGCGGAGGATGGCCAGTGGGCAGGGGAATCCAAGGTCAGACCTCATCACTACTCCAGGCCCAGCTGGCCCCTGAATGTGAGGTCCCTGAGGACAGTGGCCTGCTTGACCATCTAGTCAGGACCTCCTCTCTCAGATGTCACCAACTTTAATAGTTTCCTGCTGGCGCACTGAAAGTCCTTTACATGTCTAACCTGAGTCCCCCATGCTGCAGGGAAACTTGAAGATACTTGGAAGAGTTTGGTCTGGGATGTCAGTAAAGACTGCAGATTCCCTGGTGCCGAGGGGGGGAGCATGTGCCCCTCCCCACCCTCCAGTGCCTTCTTCACCTCTGCCACAGTCTGGAACCCTGGAGCTCTGCAGCAGGGGGACCAACACTGAAGTGAGGCCTCTTGGAGTTGGTATAGGTTGGAGGCACAGGGTGGCACTGGGGGGCAGAGTGGGAGGCATCACTGATTGTCCCTTCCCAATCAGCCTCACTGGGGCTCTACAGGACCTGCCACCCCTTCCATCTCTCTGTCCTCCTCATCTCCTTCCACTCCGCCCCTCCCTCCCGGCTCCAGCCACCCAGGTCTCCAGCTGCCGACCACAGGGCCTTTTCACATACTTCCCTCTGCCCGCAAGTTCTTACGTCCCCACCTCGTCCCGGCCCCCCGTCACTTCCTCCAAGAGGCTGTCTCTGAGCCCCCTGTGGTGGCAAAATCACGGCCCCCATCAGTGTCCATAGCTTATCCCCAAACATGTCACCCGGTGTGACAAGAGGGACTTCACCGATCTGATGGAGGTCCCTGGTTCTGGATGGGGAAGCTCTCCTGGGTTATCTGGGAGACCCAGTGCCACCACCCGGGGCCTTCCAGGTGCAAGAGGCAGGCAGGTGAGGACAGCAGGGAGGGTGGTGGGAAAGCTGGGGAGAGGCCTGGGGGACAGCACTGGGGCTGGGGGTCGGCTTCCAGGGGCCAGGAAAGCCACATGAGCCCCCCAGGGCCTCGGCGGGGAGGCGGCTGGCCGCTCCTGACCTGGGGTTTCTGACGCGGGAAACGTGAGGCTGTGCCGATTCCACCTGCGGGGCTTGCCGCTGTCATGACGGTGGCAGTGGGGACCCCACGGTGTCCCCTCCCTGGTCTCCAGCCCTTCAGCACACGTCTCTCCCTGAAGAGCACCACTGGCTGCTGGGGTCCCCTCCCAGGCCAGGCTGTCAGACGCCTTTCAGAGGAGCCAGGGACACGTTCGCAGGGTAAAGTCGTCCCAAGACAACTCCGGCAACTGGGGTGTCCTGCACGTGGTCCGGCAGCTTCCACCGGGGCAGCGGGGACACTTCCCGGGCACATGCTGGGAGCCCAGCGGACACCTGAGTGACAGGTCAGTCACCGGGCAGCAGCCCTCCCCGCCAGCTGGACGCCTCTCAGCCTTCCGGGAAGCTGAGGGGACACAAGCGTCAACCGCAGCCAGTGACGAAAGCACGATTCAGGCAGTGACCCCACGAGGTCAGGCGTCCATTTTCTAGAGGAGGAAACGGAGCCTCACGAGGTGTGGTCACTCGCTCGGGGTCCCACACCACCGATGGCGGAGCCCGTTCTGAACCCTCAAGAACCAGGTTCACGGCCGCTGCAGACCCGCCTTCTCCCACCCCCCTCCGGTCCCTCCTCACGGCCCAGGTGTCTTCCTGGGTACACGCTCCCCCGTTGGGTGACCGCCAACTCCTGCTCCTGCACCAAAGCCCTGTCCTCATGCCCCTTTTGGGAGACCATCTCCGACCCCCCAGGGCTCCACGCTCGCGCTCCGTGACTCCTTGTCCCTAGGGACGGTAGGGACTGGCTGTTGCGTCCTTCTCTCCCGCACACTGTGACTTCCCTGAGGACAGTCGCGGGTCACTGTCTGTCCTTTGGCCACGGAACTGAGAGCCGAGCCTGGCTTTGCGGCTGGGTGGGGAGGGTCCCGAGCGTTTCCAGGTGAACCAGGGGGGCGCGAGGACCCGCCGCCCGCCGCGCCCTGGGTCTTGAGCGCTGGAGCCCATGGAAAGGGGAGCGAGGGCCCTAATCCCTCGTCCCTTAAAACAAAACACACATTTTTCTGAGTATGAAAATAATGCAGACTCATTAAAGAAAAATTGGAGAATAATAAAATTAGGGGGAAGAAAATGAAAACCACCCAGGATCCTGCCACCCAGAATAATGGCAGGGATCCGGCGCCGAGCCCCCGGTGAACTGTGACGCGGGGGTCGCCCCCCTGTCCTTCCCCGTCTTCTGTGGCGTGGGGACACGTGCACAGGCCACTCGGAACCTGCTCACATGTGCGATCCCCGGGTCACGGGGTCCCCTTCCCGATGGCCGCTGAGTGGGGGCTGGGCTGGGGCGCGGAGGGGCCCCCGGGCTGGACCACCCTCGTGTCCCCTCGGGTCTGCTGTCGGGGTGTTTGTGGATGTCTGTCACTCTGCAGGGACGCCCCTGTATGGCGCCTTAGCCTGCTCCTCCTTCCTCCCTTAGGACGACCCCAGGGTGGCCACCGCCAGGCTCTGGACGCGCCGGTCACCCCGTGCTGCTCGCTCTCCAGCCCCCTCCCGCCAGCAGCCTGGACGCCCGGCGTGGCAGGAAGCGAGGACCCCAGAGGGGAGCCGGCCACTGCCCATCCAAGGCCAAGACGCCATTACGCAGCCGTGGGCTCTGTTCTGGGCTCAGCCTCCCTGTTTCCTGTCAAACATGCGGTCTCAGCCCAACCCGCCAAGGAGGCCACCACTAACTGAGGGCGCTTGTGGCCTCAGGGCCGCGAGACATCGTGCTGTCCGTGGATCATTGACTGGGCTCAGTGTGTGCCAGGCCCTGGGCGTCTGCGTGTCCCTTGCAGTAACCCCCAGAGGGAAGGATGGGGTCTCCCACCACATGGAAGAGGATACCGAGGGTCTGAGGTGCTGCATGGCCTGGGCAGGTCCCAGAGGATCTTGGACTCACCCAAGTCTGAGCCCTGAAGGAGGCTGACCCCGACATCATGGGGTCACCCCGGAGATGGCCTCTACTGCCCCCAGGGAACCGTGAGTCCTGGGCCTGAGAACCAGGGTGCAGAGGTGCGGCCCCACAACACCTGCTGTCCACCCCTGGGCGGGTGGCCCAGGCCTCACCAGGCGGCCAGGACAGGCGTGGGCCTAAGCCGGCAGCCAGACCCTGGCTCTGCGGTGGCCCGGAAGGTCGCAGCCCTTACCTCCTTCACCTGCGCCGTGTGAGAGCGGGGTTCAGCCCAGCTGCTCTGAGCGGGGAGCCCCCGGAGCTGAGTCAAAGGGAGAAGGGCCTTCACCAGACGCCCCTCACCGCAGGCAGCCGGCCTGGTCCTCAGGGGCTGGACCAGGCGAGTCTGGGTCCCAGGCTGGGCTGGGAGGGGCTGGCTGGCCCAGATGGAGGCGCCCCCCAGCGCTGGAGGGTGACAGCTATTTTTTAACCAACCCCACAGGAAGAAGAGGCCAGAAATGAGATCAGGGGTTGACCCAGGGCCCTGGGGACCCTCCCTATTTGCATCTCCTTCCCCCACCAGCAGGGACCTGTGTGGACTCACCGGAGCTGCCCGGGTCCCCGAGGCTCCCACAGAGCCCCCCTTGCGGCCCAAGGTCCCGTTTGAGGGAGGTCGGGCCAGGACGGGCCTCCCGCCACCCTCTGGTTCTGCTGGGCTGCCCCCCACTGTCGCATCGGCCTGTGGACAGGGGCCAGCGGCAGGTGTCTGGGGCCCCCAGGAAAAGGGAGCATTTCCTGGCCAGAGAAGCAGAGACCTGTCTGGGTGGGGGCCAGGCGGCCTCTCCCTGCAGCAGGTCTCGGGCCACACCACCAGGTGTCCCTTGTCCCCCAGGGAGGTTCCTGAAAAGGCAGGGCCTAGAGCAGGGGGAATGGCCTCGGGGTGGCCTGGCCCAGGGTGGGTGATCCTGCGGGCACCGGGTGGGCTGGGCTCTGGCCAAGGCGTCCCCAGATGGGGCTGGCTGGGCCACCTGGTGGGGACGGGGTGGGGGGAGGGTGCGCTGGGGGAGGGTCTGGGCGGGGACCCTCTGTCAGGAGGGCCCCTGTACTGTCTGGGCCTGGGGCAGCCAGGCACCCAGGTGAGGCCTGAGCGGAGCCTCTCCTTATTTATTGTGTGTTTAGACAATAGTGTGGAGAAGGACGTGAACGGACCCCCCCCATGGCCCTGATACAGATCCCGTGAGCACCAGGAAAACACTTGAAAACACAGAAGGACGGTAAAAGGTGTTCAGGCCCGAAATCCCCCCATGGGGGGAGGTCCCCGCATCTCCAGGAGCGGGCACTGCGGGTCCTCTGGTCGCCAAAAGGTGGACCCGACCCGGGGTGCTTGGCAGCCCCTTTCACGGCCTGGGTCTGTTCTCCAGTGGCCTGAGAGGTGGCCACTGGGTCCTCCCCTCATCACAGGAGGGCCAGGACCTCCCTCGGGCGGAGGTGGAGGCCGAGATTGGAATCTAGGGCCCGTGGGCTGGCTGAAGGGCTGGACTCTTGGCCGTGGCCCAGGGCCCCAGGGGTTCACTCCTCCGGGAGCTCGGATGGACGAAGCCTCAGGCTGGGCCCACGAATGACCACACGCCGAGACCCAACCGTGGCCACAGCTTGGTTCCGGGTCGGGATTGTTGCTGACCCGGTCACTGGCCTCACCTGCTCACCAGGGGTTTTAGAAACCTTTGACTTGCCACCGTGTGTCCAGCGCTCAGCTCTCTGTGCGCAGGGGAGGGAGGGCAGCAGAACCCTGCCCACCAGCCTGGGGCCAGGCCGCCCAAGGACCCGGGGACGGCCTCGGGCCTGGCTCAGCTGCCCGTGAACCTAGAAGCCCGGCGTCCTTCTTGGCTCAGGCCCAGGCCACCCCTGGAGGGTCGGCATGGCTGAGCCCCTCAGGCCACAGCGTGGCCACTGGACAGCTCCCACACCCCCACGTCCTCATGCTGTGGCCCCCTCCTCCTGCGGGGCCTGGACTCCTCTCACTTGGAGCAGAGCCGCAGGTGGGCGCCGTCGGGGTGGACCTGGGGCTAGCCGTGCGAGCCGGCTCTGCAGGTCCCCCAGGGTCTCCCCACTCCATGTCCCCCCAGCCTTTCTGGATGTGGCTAGAGGACACAGGACCCCAGTTCACGGAAGCCACCCACTGTTCCCAGGAAGAGGGCCACCAGGAGCTGACAGATGTTCCTGGATCTGGGGAAACCTGAGTTAACTCAGAGCTGCCATGCTGTGGGGAGGCACAGCTCCGGATGCAGGCTGTCTGGGTCTGAGCCCCAGCTGGGTGATATTAGGCAGGTCTCACACACTCTCTGGGCCTGTTTCCTCATTTATAAAATGAGCTTCATCGTAGCATTTGTCTTACACACTGTGAGGACGAAATATGCAGACACGGAAAGCACTCAGACATGGCCTGGCATACAGTAAGAGCTGCGTAAATGTTTGCAGCCAACGGTGTAACTATTTAAGAGTTGAGTCATCATGATTTCTATTTTCCACACAGTTAATTATTCATTTCTTAGTTCCAATTTTGTCCTTTCCTTTTTTTTTTTTTTAAATATATTTAGGATCTGGGAAATTTTCCTTTTAAGTCTCACACAATTTCCTGGGTCCTTGAAAAGATAATTTCCTGGCCCCCACCGTGCCTGTGGCCTAAAGCAGATTTACGGTGTCTCCTAGAACAGCTTATCCCTAAATGGTGTGGGGTGGGGTGAACCTTCCTAGCATATCAAGGCTCTGAGCCCCCCTTGTCTCGGCTGGACACACACCGGGAGATGCCGCCCTGGCTCCCTGGCTCTAGGAGACAGGAGCAAGGTCTGTGAGGGACAGCTGCTCACGGCGAAGAGCCTCCGTCTCTGCACAAGCCCCTGCAGCAGTGAGCACCCATGGCTGACCTGGGCCTCGTGGCCTCTGCTTCACTGCCTCATTCATTCCCCAAGCAGCCCAGGAGGCCGGCCTTGAGAAGTGAGGCCCGGGGAGGTAAGTGGCCACACAGCCGAAGGGTGGCAGGTCACGGCTTCTGATTCTGAACCTCACCTTCCTCCTCCTGTCCACCGAGGGGAAAGGGAGAACCAGGCCCCATGCTGCCAGGATCCATCTTCCCTTCTGACCTGCTCTTACGGTACCCAAAGCTTTCTTTTCCTGGAGGGTCCGAGGCTTAAATGAAGGAAGATCAAAAATTCATTTCCTGCTTCCACCATCGTGGGAAGCCCTTTCACACACCACTGTTCTAGATTCCTCCTGGCTGTATCCTGACACATAAATAAAGCATTGATTGACATCTCCTCCTCCTCCTCCCCCTCCTCCTCCTCCTTCTCCTCCTCCTCCTCCTCCTCCTC